CTCTATGTCCAAACCCCGCCACATGCAATACCAGCACAGCGTCTCTACTGACTGAGCCATCTGTTTCCGTAAACATTTGACTGCCTAACCAACATAGTATACATAGTGATCCAAGAAAATTGCAGGTCCGAGCACAGGATGAACGAATTATGATTGAAGCATGAAAGCCCGTCTTTAAAAAGAGTAAGTATCAAACGTATTGACGTTTATACTTCGATCAATGGTATGTCACTAGATGAGACTGTTACTACAGAAAGTTTCAGAATTTATTGTGAAGTCATCTTATTTTTTTTTATTTAAGTGCTGTATTTAGCGAAAACCACATGGCATGGCATAGCAGTCAGTATAAATGGCTTCTGCATTGCTTTCACCATCGAACCAACCAAACACTGACTGAACATTGACCGTATTAAACCGGCACTAAGCCGGGGCACGCCCCGGCAAAAAATTCCAAAGGACCCCAAAGTGAGAATGAAGGCATTACATTCCACAATGCACTATTCCAAAATCCCAGCAACCCACCACCCTGCATGAGCTACTGTAACATTAATTTTGTTACCCACACCAAATTTAGCTGTATACACATGTATCTTTGTTACAAGTGTACAAATGTACATGTAAATTAAAGCCAAAGGGAAATACATGTAAATAAACAAGGCAATGTTTGATCAACACAATAATCATGCAATACAGTGTGTGATGGGATAAATAGACTCCTTACCTGTAAGCATGCTCTCATTGACAATACAGTTGCCTGTAATAAGGACTGCATCACATGACATCATGGTGCCATATGGAGGGATACTGATGACATCTCCCGGCACCAACTCCTGACCAGGAATAGCCTCATACACTGCAACATTTGGACAAAGAAACTGCCAGGTTATTCTTTTGCTTGACTACACATAATTGTCTTCGTCAGAAGGACTATCAAATTGTCTCGCCGCATTGTGGGAACTGCGGATTTTGCGATATAACTCAGGCATAATTCGACGTCCATGATTTTTGGCAGGCAGATTACCATTGTTGAGGCCGAAGTCAAGTGCAAGTTTCGGCTTCGTGGGGGTTCGTGCGTCATGTTAGTGCACCTTTTGTGTTTGTGGCTTGTTCGCAAAATAACTCAAGTATTTGTAAAATGTTGTTTATAATTTTTGGTAGACAGATTACTATTGTTGGGACCAAGGTTAAGTTTGTTAATGGGCTTTGTTGGGGGTTTCATTGTCACTGTAGCGGACCTTTTGTGTTTAGAAGTTCCCCCACCACCTCTGCTTGGAGACAGCCGACAGCTGGATATAGCGGGGAACCCCATAATGGGATGGGATCAAAAATTTAATGACGTTACATTGAGGGATTGTACTATACGTTCAGCAGGGGGAGGATAGGTTGGACATGTGACAGGTTATTTTCTACGGCCACACCAAGTAATTGCTATGGATGATCTCCACTGGAGACCTTAAATTTAATGTGAAAGCGCAATAAAAATATGAAGGGCTGAAAAAGGAGATGGAATTTGGAATATACTAACAGTTACTGTAGAAATACAAATGTTATGACACAAGTCACACAAGTTGAATAAAAGAACGCAGTGTCACAAGAAACAAGTCTTCTATTCGTCGTAAAGATAAATTAACAAAACAGCAGTAGTCGACCCTGTTCTGATTCTTTCCTTTATCACATCTTCTCTAATTATATTTTGCGACACTGTCGTGACACTTTCATCATAATACAGTAAGAAGAATTTCTTGTAAGTTTTTTTCCAGTAACAGTCCAAAATCAAATAACGTAGGGTGGGGGTCTAACATGGGTGACGGCGCGTCTGTAAAATCTGTGGCGAACCCTTTCAGGGTGTTCTGTAGTATAAACAAGAGTACAGAGATTCTTTTGTACTTTAGACCAAATTGATTATTAAAAAGAGTAAAGAATACACATGTTCATTTCTCTAGAACAATGTACCTCTGACGAAGACATGAGATCTCCGACCTCTAGTTGTGCTAAATGTATTTTACATTTTTCTTTATGTTTTGGAATAGCAAAATTCCACAGCATTGTTGATGTTTACTCAGCTTTTTTCTTAAAATGCTTAAATTGATATTCTAAAAGTGTTCCAAGACTGGTAGCAAGAGTTGGGAGATTTCATACCTCCATAAAATAAAAAATGTCAGTAGTATGGTTACCAAATCTTTTAGCTGAGTTTTTTGTCCTCTCCACAACTACATGTAATTGCAGAGAGGACAAAAGAGACTCTGCAGGTTTGGTAACCAGGCTTCAAAACTTAGATTTTTTTGATTGTCTGATGTTTTATGATTATTGTGGAAATAAATGTAACTAGAGTTCCAAGACCTCATGCCTTTGCCAAATGATGTTCATTATGTTCAGAAGACATATTGTTTTTCCTCATGTTTTATCTCCTCCTTCTGTCATTTCTTTAAATTGACTCAACTCCTTCATTTTTGGGCCAAATAACATGAAATTTGGCATGAAGGTAAAGTGCCCAAATACCCCTAGGCGTTTTTCTTCATTTTCTTAATACAGGCTTTCAAATGGTTTTATTTGGACTTTTTGGCAGTGTTATATGTAATGTACCATAATAGCAGTGTGTGTTACCAAGATTAGAGTGTGACCATACTAGTATTTGGGACTAGGGCCAATGACCAAATATGGGCAGCAGGTGCACCGTTTGGAGATCTGGTCGCTGATTGGCTGTTCCCTTAATTACTTTACTGCTAAATGAACACCTGTGTATGGTTCCACATACTTATAATAGGAATAGTTACTTTGTTTTTTTAGAAGTATTAGCCAGGAAAAGGAGTCTCTTGGGTTTTAAATTGGTGAAACATGTCATAAAACCTTCATTTCTATAAATTTTATACCTTGCTATTTTTTAAACCAATTCTTAACATGTTTAAAGTTGCAGACTGCCGTCTACTGAGGAAGACCAGAGTGACTGGTCGAAAGCTCTAGGTGAGAGAATTTTTTTGTGTTGGACCAAAAGTTTTAACTTTAAACATGTAACTACCAACACAGATGAACTTTCATGACAATTCTTAACATCTTTAAACCAAATTAGCTGCTTTACTCTATTCTTCTTGCTGATTGGCTGTTGGGATTTAATTGGGTTAACATAGCCATACCATATCGGCACTGCATTCAAGTGTTTTGGGGTAGGTATGTCAAACTTTCCTGCTCAAGCATTGGAATGCGGGGCATATTAACGCTATCATTTATCTTGAAAATCAACAGTTTGCATTATGCAAATAAAAATCCTAACCAATAATGTAGGGGATAGCTATCCAACTGTTGCATTCTTAGTTACATGTCACTTCATACTATAGTTACATCAATATAAAGCATTGTTCTCCCTTGTATTTCTCCTTCTTTTCCTGCCATGTCGTGAAATGTGGTGAAGCCATCCTGAATTTGCTCCAAAGCAAATGTCGGCTTTTCTAGTTTACATTGAACTATAAATGTTTCTCATTGTTTATGAAACAAATTTTCATTAATGTTATCAGATGATCATATTCTCCACCTGGTGACAGTATGACAAAACATGGATTCTAATGCAACTTGAGATTTTTGTGTCAAGATGACACTGTTTTGGATTAAGCACCTAGTGTTGGGCATAACGGCCCTACATGTTGTATTTACTAATAATACAAGGTTATGTAGTCTTTACCATTTATTTGTACTTACGTACATAGTCATCTCACTGGCTGGTATTCCCTGGCTGGAATTCCAGCAGCCCTACCTAACACTGCTTCCCTGGCTGGAATTCCAGCAACCCGTCTTGAAAACCGTCAGCTGTGAACATTGTGCATTACATGCATGTACATTTTGTACTTGCTGGAGGTTTGGAAATCAATGTTAGTCTTGTCAATTTTGTTATAACTTGTTTTAACAACAACAATAAAAAGGTGTTTCTGTGAGTTACAATGTTTTAAAACTTCTAACTTGAGTGTAGCTTACCATTGTCTCCTCTCCACACAGACACCTCTGCCTCCAATGCCACCATATCGCGCAGTGATTCTGCTTGCTAAAAACAGAGATAACCTTTTAAAGCCTGGCATAAGGGCTTGGTATTGAAGCTTAATCTGTTCTTTGCAATACGGTCAAGCACTTTTCAAGTAGTCTGGCAAGAATCTAATTAAAAATTCAGAAAATAGAATAAAACAAATTGATTCAACATTTGTAATCAGATTAACTCAATATCAGATTGAGGTAAGCCTGTGATGTGATCAGAAGCATATTCGGATTCCCTCAGTGCAATAAAATCATTTTAAAAACACTTGACAGTTCCTCAGTGCTTTGGCCGCCTTTCTCAGAGTACTACATGCAAACTTAAGGTTATTGAAATACTAACTCATATTACAGGGCTCAAGTTGCACTTTTCTTTATCTTCAAAACTACAACTGTACAGCAGTTCTGAACAGCACTACACTTTTCATATGGCTGAACATGTTTATTACAGTAGGTTGCACAGTAACTGTTACATTTACAATTATAATTAGCAAATTGAAAATATCAGTACTGCATTTCAATATAATTCAGTCATATTAAGGCCACACCAATTTAGTTAATTGCTTGTGGAATTTGCCTGCTTAATTTCTTTCTGACTTGCAAACAAACAAATAACAGATTCAGGTTCTGAATCAACTCCAAATTGCTCGTATTTTCACTGATGTCTTTCATCAAGTTGTTACAGTTTTTCCATCTCTCAATGCATTGGTTTGATCAAAAGTTTAACAATCATTTGTTTTTTCACCTTGTCACAATTTTTTTCTGAAAAAATCCGAGAACCAACAAGACATTTGGTGTGGCCTAATCGTGCATACATATGTGCTCATTGAGAAATAGGATTAGGGAATATTATGTTCACTTATAGTTATGATATTGAGATTATACAAACTCTCACCTTTCTGATCTCATAAAGCTCCACTGAGATAGAAATGACAGAGATGACAACAATACAGCTGGCATAAATGTAGTAGTCATTTAATGACCACAGGATCACACTGAAGATTTGAAACATGTAGAAAGGGTTCAACACCTACAGAGAAATGGGAAAGACATCACAATTGGTAAATTCACTTGGAGTGACTGTCTACTAAATTTATACATTATGCAGGGCTCAAAATTCATTTTTGGGAATAGGTGCACTGGTGCACCCAATCTACAAAATTGGGTGCACAAAAAATATTTTTGGTGCACCATATAAGACAGAATAAGTAGAATGCAGGAAAAAAATGTTCCATTTCTAAATTCTAGAGAAAAGTACTATAACAATGATTTCATTGTTTTTCTGACATTTGAGTGAATACCATGAACGGGGGGTGCCCTAACTTGCCCTAACATCGGACGGATTTTTTACTGATCTTATTATTATGCAAAAGTATGCCATGTTTGTTGCCACTAACTTCGCTAATAAAAAGGTCAATAAACATAGTCAATGCATACAGCTGTTATTTGTATGCAGAGAATAGTTCAATACATTTATTTGTCGTTTTGTCGAAAAAGAGAATATCGGTCATTTTCACCGATCATAACAATGGCATGGCGCTGAAAAAAAGGGTCACTTCATTGCGGCGACTCGTGCCCAGAAATAAACGACCTGTACCAAGATTTGACACAACTGCCACATACACAAGGAATAAAGCTTTGCAAAACAGTAAATATGTGTGTCTCAGAGTGTTTGTTTTGTAGAAAACTGACCTGTGAATAACAACATCAACATCACTGTCGTCTACATTTCCCATGATTCCCCTGGGACCACATTGATTGTGTAAGCCGGGTTTCCAGTGGAAACACAGACTGATTGCGTTAGATACAACCCTCCTCTCGTGAGAATAGAAGTACACATAATCGCAATTTTACTGTCAAAAGAAAACTATAATATCATAAAAATTCTATTCTTATTTTTGTTAACTTAATTTCATAATCAATGCCTGAAGAGAGCAAAATTACGAAAGCGTCTGAAGTTAGGGCACACTATCTAGCGTAGCCGCATTCACAAAGGTACATTCACGAAAACGTCTCACAGAGTTTGTCACTTGTAACACGGAGTGTGAAGAGCCTAAGAATAGTCTGAATGAATTTCTTATCCAAGTATGTTGTTTACATTCATGTTCAGAAAATAAAAAAAAACATAATTTTAAAGGTCAATAAACAAATCAAAATGAAAAATGGAGGTATTTGCCTTACCATACAAATGTAAACAATAGAATAGTGTTAAAATCGTTTTGCAATAAATGACACTCTACTCTCTTTGAGTGCTTTTGGCACTCTCTTTGAGTGCCAAAAAAATGAATTAAAAAAATGAAAGGCAGAAACACCAGTGAGAGAATATAATATATATACATGTATTCAATAAATTCCATGGTATGGAGTGAAATCTAAAGTGAAATATTATGAAGTTAAACATAATTACATATTTAAAAAAGACCTAAGTAAAGACTACAATGTAGGAGTTACCAATAATACTCACCTCTTCAATAAGGAGTCTAAAATAGCTCTTGACCTCAATATGAATTGAGTTTTTGCCATACAACAAACGTCTGTAATCAAAAGCACATGAAGGCTTGAGAAAAAACTGTTGACAAGTGAGTAATTCAAGGTATATTGCCGTTTCCCGCACACCTTTTCAACTTTACATATACATATAGCGGATGGGGACTGTCACTACCCATAAAGACTAACAATAAGACAAAACTCAGTCACAAAAAACTATAAAGAAACATTTTAAAGAATAAAAACGTATCTGTGATACCAGATGAAAACTGTACTGTACATGCATATGTACATTGCATGGCACTGTATATTCCATAAATATAATGTGTTACTTTTTAAAAGATCTCATTATGTACTGTAGCTATGCTTGGCACAAGTGAGTACTATTGGAGCTGTTGACAATCTTCTCACTGTAATACATCAGACTACATGTACACATGTGGATACTGGTAGATAGTGTACATGCATGTATGGCATTGAACTGTTCATAACATACTTCCTGTCTTGCTCCTCTCTGCTCATCCCAGCAATTTGGTAGAAGTAAGAGCAAGGTGTTTGATCAAGGCCTCTAAAATATGAAGAAAGTTAACATTTGAAATTTGAAATAAGGTTAACTTTTGAAAAATGTAAATAAATTATACTAAGCAAATGCTCAGTCTAGAGAAATAATACCATTGTATGACTTTTTTGTACACATCTACTATGGCACATGCATGTTTACAACATTTACAGCACCAACAGTGATCAAGGGAACAATTCTTTTTTTAATCACAGTTGCTTTGCTTGACTGTGCAATGAGCTGACTGAATAAGGACTCTGCATGAATGTACATGTAAAAGCACATTGAGCAATTTTAACAAAAACAGCAGTCAACCCTGTGTTTATGCGCTTCAAATTTGGAGTCAAATTTTAAAGCTTAACATTCATTTTTTTTTCACCTTGTCTCTACATATTTCTTCTGAAAAAATCTGAGAACCAACAATATTTACCAAAATACTGTTGTGTTTTAAAGAACAACTCCAGATGAGGAGTCACATAAGTTTGGAATCATGGATAACCACATCTCAACCAGAATGGATGAGTCAATCCCAAACTTCCTCATACCTGAGCTTTGTGAAGCAGCTGGTTCTGGAATTCCAAATGTACCGCATATGCTGGTGTTGAAAGAATCGCACACAAAGTCTTTTCTGGGATAAAAAAACATGAAATGGACACAGATATAAAGAAAAAGTAATAAGACAAGTCATATAAAAAAACTAGAGTTTGAGGAACACATGCCATTGCAATGTTAGTGTTTCTAACTTTTTTTCATTGAGGTCACATTTGTGGCACGTAGTAACAAAGGAAAGAAAATGCCATGTAAACTCAATGCAACTGCACATTCCGTCATGTCAATGAGATCATTGTGTTTGTTGCCCTTAAGCTTTAGGAGAAGATATGTATTAACTTGAAGAAACTAATTATTGCCTGGCTTTGTATACAGTAATTTACATGTAACAATAAAAACGTTTAGTCCACTATTCAAACTAAAAATACATTACATGTACCTTATCACTGGTAGATGTCAAACTGGTTGATTCCTCCTCCTCTTCCTCCTCCTCCTCTCTGTCCTCTTCCTTGTAATTACAATCTACACCTTCTGCCACCTGTGCAAAGGACCTAGAAAGTACAATCATTTAGTCAAGAAAGAAAGAGAAATTGAAAAAAATTGTGTTTTCTGGAAAATGCTTTCCGTGGAGGAAAGTGTGGGAAAACAACTTTCAATACTTTAAAGTTCAATCTGTAGAATTGGATTGTCATGTTTGGTAAATTCTAGATCACATCATGGATTTCTCAACTGTGTTGTTTGTACACAGAGAGTTTATTTAGCTAATAATGAGAATGGATTCATTTGATTAATACATTTAATAATGGTCAGTATTCTGAATTGAATCAGTCTTTTAAAGTGTTCATGTCACCTTGACAAGTACATGTAGGTAAAATGGGTACAGATATCCAGACTACGTAATCATACAATATAGTAGTTTGGAGCTATTTGTAATCCCAAAGATAGGGAAACAATGTTTGTACAAGAAATTAAAGTTGACCTAGAGAAATTAATCCCGATCAATTTCTCTAGGATTTTTCAGAGGAGACTGTGCCTTTGATATAGAATCGAGCCGTACATGGAAGTCAAGTCAGCAGCACAGACGAGCCAAGTTCCAGCATGGGCATGTTAATGCATACAGTTTGAAAATTGCACCAGTACTAGTTATATGACTAGTATGTATGTTACATGTACAAAAATGTATATGTGCTTTGCAGTAGGAAGAATTGAAAGATTAATAATTGAAAGCACAAAAACATAAGATTTTACCACTCGGCGCTACGTCGCAGCAATATTTACACGGCAGTCATTTTGGCATACCCAGGACTTCTGGACCGTGAAAACCTCCTGTTAACAATATTACAATGTTACAGGGCTCCAAATACTTTTTTTCAGGTACGTGCAAAAATTGGCAAAAATTTTTAGGTGCAATGTGAAAACTTTATGTGCAAAATTATATTTACTCAGTCTGGAACTATTTTCCAGCTGGCAGAGTGGTACACAAATTTTTTTCCAGATGGCTCAGTGGAGGGATTCTGCAAACATTATGTAACCCATAATGAATTAAACTGACATTCCTAGTTTGTGTTATTTGCATGATGTTTCAACTTGCAGAAAAAAAAACAACTTAAAAATGCAAAGCTTTGAAACTAGAAGAAAACTATCGAAAGAAAAATGGTTGTCTTTCTCGGCATTAGCTTTAGCCTTCCAGGGCGCTTCTAGTGACTCCCCCGCCACTCCCTCTCTCCACATGTTACAAACACAAGTCTAAGAGTAACTGTTGGAAATTCCTGAAATTGAAAACATTTTATATGGCACATGAAGAAAATTTACAAACAGTCTTAGAGCAATACAATCTATTTTTATGTTTCATATTTCCCTTGATTAGCGAAAATAACATATGGTTAGTTTTTGCATCTTTGCCTGCAACGCACTCTCCTCCCCCTCCTGCTAGTGCTGTGTACCGGTTCGCTGAACCGATTCTGGACTTGTAAAAATGTTTAGGTTCAAAAAGTAAAAAAAAACCCTACAAGTCAAGAGCCGATTCCAGGCTTAATACAAAAAAAAACATGTCACATACCCCTTTTCAGGTACATGTGCGTGATGATCTGCCCATGCTGTATGACTTGCAGTAAGAGAAAGTGTTTTATTTCTTAGCTAATGTCTTGTAGATTCCTAACAGTTGTCTGTTCACAAGGGTACCGAAGTAACGGGTTCCTCACTGGCCGCCCAGTGCGGAACTCACGGGGAAAGTAGCGTCGAAACTCGGGGCCCTGTGCGGAAGAAAGCTCCGCACTGGAATTCTAGTGCAGAAACGGCTTTGTTCCAGTGCTGAAACACCGTCAGGCCTGGAATTCCAGAGCTGAATCTTGACTCGGCACTCGTTTTCCGGTGCTAACTTCCACTTAGCACTCGTTTGCCAGAGCTCGGAGGCCGTTCACCACTGGATAGCCAGCGCTGAATTCCACTCGGTACTCGCTACCAGTGCTCGGAGACCGTTTACCACTGGATAGCAAGTGCCGAAGTCCCTAAGTAACGGATTCCTCACTGGATCGTTCCAGTGCTCGGTGACTCTTGGTGCTGGAAGCCGGGTTCTCAAATTATTTCGGCACCGGGCCTCTGGTGCTTACATCGCCCGCGCGCGGCGTACAGTACATTATCGTAGGCCAAGTCTACGTCTGTAAAAATGTGAGGATCTGAGCCTTGCAGTATTGTCCTGCCGATCAACTTGGCGTCCCAATTATAATTTGCTTCCCGGGCGGTACGACCTCAAAAATATAAGTGTTAAGAGTATCTCGGCATCTCGGTACCCTTTCTAAAGACAAGGTTAGATTTGCCGATTTAGAGTTTCCAGTGCTGAAGCCGCCGACACTGGACACCAAGTGTTGACGTACCATCGGCACTGGAGATCTAGGACGGAAGCCACCTCACCTCTGTATACCGAGTGCTGAGAAAGGAACCCGTTACTTCGGTACTTTTGCTGTCTGTTCTATTCGTGTTTGTCAAATTTAGTTATTTTTTGGCTAGCAGTCAGGTGTATGGGGAGTAAGGGGTCAGTGTCCATCATATTCCTTCTGTCCTAGACCTTTTGTTCGATGTACTTTCTGTACCCTCTGCTTGTGAATATTTTCGTCCTTCAGAAACCTAAAAAGGCTGTTATAATTAGTGGCAGAATTGCTAGTCGAGGAACACACCTACATATATCAAGCATACTGCCAAATGAATCCCTGAGAAACACCTGAGGCTCACTGAGAAGTGTGTTTGCCCACTTTTCTTACAATATGTGCAGGCTTGCCGAGAGCTTACACGAGTTATACTGCACTGAAGTCATTTCCAGTTTCTGTCCAATTGCAGAAGTGAGTTATCAGTGGCTCTGTGGCAGGGTACTAAAAAATATGTTTTTTACACGCACATGTGCGTGTCATGCAATGACAGTGAGTACTCCCAAATTGTTCAGTAAATACAGAAAATGATATATTGGGGTGACATAAACACTTTAAAGGGTTGAACATTAATATTGTTAGACCACAGCTTGATTACAAAGAAGTAGAAAGGGCCTGGCTACTGTACCCATACTGCTTTGCTGCAACTGTTTGAGTCTTTGTGTCCAAATGAAAATCAGGACAGGCATAAATATAAGGGGCAAGCCAGTCTGGGACATGAAGTGTGCTGGAAGAAGAGGAAAACAATTTTAAAGTTTTTTTACTGTCAGGAGAAAAGACTTGTTCTAAGCATGACACCAAGTATGATTCTAATCTCACTTATAATACTTAAGTCAAGCGCATCTTTAATCTTTATCAATGTGCATTGTGGGATTGCAAGCAATTAATACAAAATTATTATTAATCAAGTCTTACATAAGTGACTTATTTCATTCAGAACATTAATTTGACAATTTTCAGATTACAGGAAGATGCAGTTCTACTGAAGGACATTCTTGAACTATTGGTGCCCAAATAATCAGAATCTTGGGGTTGAGTCCTATGGTACAATAACTGTACATGACGTTTTGTGAATGAAGATCCTTTTTTTATCAGAATAAAAATAAGCAGGGGAATCTGAGAACCATGAAGAAATTACAAAATAATAATGTACATGTAGATGGGTGTTGCCTGATTCAAATGTTACTTGAAACCTTAGTGGGTATCCTTGACTTAGACCAGACCCACATCCATATATGAACAGAGAATGGTCGAGTGTTTTAGGTTAGAGGTAACAGTTCCATTTCTGGTGTTCCTGGTCCTTGGGAAGAGGAACTTTACACAACTTTCCTCATTCCATCCAGGCTAAACAAAGGTACCTGACTTTGGTTGGGTTAGTAAAAGGCAGTGGAATGAAGAGGATGGGCTCTGCCTTCCAAAACCATGCCCTGAAGCCTCAAAAAGGCTATCTGGAACTACCTTTACCTTTTAGTCTGTCATCTCCTTAAAAAAATAATACTAAACAGTTATGAAAGGATGACTATATCATATTTCGAGCTTGTATACAGCTAAAATATGTCAATAGCACTTAGATTAACTTACAATTCATCAACAGGAATGTAGATGATATCCACCGTCTCTGTCCACCACTGTCCATAGATGTCCTGAAACATCAGTAGTAAAATTTAATGTCACATCCACAATAAAGAAATGACTGTATCAAAGGAATCTCAAAGAATCAGCCCGCATCTCACCCGACACTTCCAGAACTTTCACACTGCACCTCCACTGACTAATTGGTTTGGGACATT